GTAAAAGAGATAATCATGACTGAAAAGGACAAGGAAGACTTTGAAAATGCTACTACTTGCTTTATCTGTGGAAATGATTTTAAACCTGAGGACAAGAAGGTTCGAGACCATTGTCACTTTACTGGAGCTTACAGAGGATGCGCCCACGATGATTGTAATCTTGGTTTTAGTATGAGATATTATAAAATCCCTGTGTTTCTTCATAACCTTAAAAACTACGATGCCCACTTAATCATCAACAAGGCTCACGAACTGAACAAGAATTCTAAAATAGAATGTATCGCTCAGAACAGCGAAAAGTGTATAACCTTTGGTTTTAAAAATCTTTGTTTCAAGGACAGTTTCAGTTTCTTATCGTCTTCGTTGGATAAGTTGGTGAAGCTGAGTAAGTATGAGGATGATAAAAAGCGTGAGAACTGGAAGAACAATTTCAGATACTGCGTTAGAAACCCGTATGTTAAAACCGATGAAGATTTGGATTTATTGACCGATAAGGGTATTTATCCCTATGACTACTTTGATGATTTTGAAAGATTTAAGGAAAGGGCTTTACCACCGAAAGAAGCGTTTTACAGTAAATTGAGTGAAGAACATGTAAGTGATAAAGATTATGAAAGGGCACTGAAAGTATGGAAGCACTTCGGGATTAGAACACTCGGGCAGTATCACGACTTGTATTTAAGAACTGATGTTTTACTACTGACCGATGTATTTGAAAACTTTAGAGACTTGTGTATGGAATACTACGGTTTAGACCCCGCTCATTATTATACGTTGCCAAATTTCGCATGGGACGCGATGCTTCTAAAAACTGGTGTTGAGATAGAACAATTGCATGACCAAGAAATGTTTGAGATGGTTGAAAAGGGAATGAGAGGAGGAATGTGTCAGGTAAGTCATAAATTAGCAGTGGCAAATAATAAGTATATGGGGGAAGCATATGATGAGAACAAGCCATCAAATTATATTAGTTACTTGGATGCTAATAACTTGTATGGTTTAGCAATGTCCCAGAAGTTACCGCTAAAAAATATCAAGTGGGCAAAGAAAACGCCCAGTGTTGAAAAATGGAATGAAAACGATGAGTTTGGTTATATTATGGAAGTTGATTTGGAATATCCCGAAACATTGCACGACTTCCACTCCGACTACCCACTAGCGCCTGAAATAATGAATGTAAATGTGAATATGCTTTCCGACTATCAAAAGCAAAAGGATAAAGAAAAATATGTGGTTCATATCAAGACTTTACAGTATTATTTGAAAATGGGAATGAAAATGGGTAAAGTCCATAGGATAATAAAATTTCAACAGAGGGCATGGTTGAAACCGTGGATTGACTTCAACACTGGTAAAAGGAAAGAAGCCAAAAGCGATTTTGAGAAAGATTTATTCAAATTAATGAATAACGCGGTGTACGGAAAAACTATGGAACACAAAAGAAACCATATGGACTTTGAACTGGTTGATAATGAGGTAAGATATGAAAAATGCGTTAATAATCCAACATTCAAAAACCGATTTATTATAAATGAAAATCTGGTGGGAGTTGAAAAAACTAAAGCGAAACTGAAACTGGATAAACCGATTTTCCTGGGAATGAGCATTTTAGATTTAAGCAAATTACATATGTATCAGTTTTACTATGATGTATTGAAAAAGAAGTATAATGAAAACATCAAATTGATATATACTGATACTGACAGTTATGTAATTCAAACAATGACTGATGATGTCTATAAGGATTTCAATGATATAAAGCAACACATGGATTTTAGCGACTATCCTGTTGAGCATCCATGTCATGACAAAACTAATAAGAAGGTCTTAGGAATGTTTAAGGACGAAGTGAATGGAAAAATCATTACTAAATTCATCGGATTAAAACCTAAATCTTACGCCTTCACAATTCACGGTGAGGTTGATGAACATAAGAAATCAAAAGGTGTAGTGAAACACAAAGTGAAAAAAGAACTGTCGTATCAGAACTATCACGAAGCATTGTTTCAAAACAAAAAGCACGAAATCACATATAATTTTATTCGTAGTCGCAACCATCAATTATTTTCAATGTCTCAAGTAAAGCAAAGTCTGAGTAATTATGAAAATAAAAGGTTTTATATTGACGCTTTCACTTCATTACCATATGGACATTACGCTATTACAAAGTAATAGCCTAATGAGCTTCGCGACATTACTCCATAAAATAATTATCTAAATAGTTCTAATAATATGAAATTATTAGAGTTATTTTCAGGGACATGCTCGGTTGGTCGGGTTGCTCGGGATTTGGGTTTTAATGTTATATCATTGGAATTGAAAAATGCTGATATTAATTGCGATATACTTGAATGGGACTACAAACAGTTTGACAGAAACCATTTCAATTTTATTTGGGCATCCCCTCCATGCACCGAATACAGCAGGGCTAAAACCACTGGGGTTAGAAAGATAGATTCTGCTAATAGTATTGTTTTGAAAACTCTTGAAATTATAGATTATTTCAAACCGAAATACTGGTTAATAGAAAATCCTCAGACTGGGATTATTAAAGGAACAACCGTTTATGAGTGGTTTAAACTACTATGATGTGGATTATTGTAAATACGGAATGAATTACAGGAAAAGGACTAGGCTTTGGACTAATATAACAACTTGGAAACCTAGACCATTATGTAATAGGGATTGTGGGAAAATTAGGAATGGGCGACACCTTGAAACTGCTCAACGGTTGCCTTGCGGTAAAAAGGTTGATTGGGGTGATGGGTTTATTAGACGTAAACAAGATGAGTTGTACAAAATTCCTACTGATTTGATTAGTGAGTTAATTGTTAGTTTGTTTGATGGAAGGGGGAGTTAAGCATTACAAGCGTTGAGGGGTGGGTCTTATTGCAGACCGCTTCTGGGTCAAAATGCAAAACGGAAATCCTTATTGCCAATACCGCCTGCCCCACCTAATTTGAAGGAAAACTGGGTAAATTGAGGTCGTATTGCGAACCATCCCCGTGCGACAGTACAATATGGAAATCCTTATTGCCAATACCACCTGCCCACCTTTTAGGAGGACAGTCCAAGACCCTCAAGGTTGATGTTGTTCGGGTCATCTTCTGGTGGGAAAAGAAAAGGTTGATTATAGACTGGTTTAATTAGTGATTTTGACTAAGTGTATTCATATTACTAAATTATAATATGATTAAACATTGTTTTATTAACTAACAAGAAGGTTAAGACATTTAAATTAAACCTGAAACCTAGACCAGCCGACCAGCAACCCCCTAGCCAAAACTACTTAAAGAAATATTACCTTATATATTAAGAGAAAAATGAACGGTGATGGAATCAATAATTATATCGATAAAAAATGCTATGATTGTTGTCACTTCAAAAAAGAAAATATGGAATTGTATAAATTGAGTTTACCTAATGAAATAGTGAATAATATTATTAATTATTCAATGGATGGTGAAGAAGACATATGTAGCAATTGTAAACAATGGAGAGATAATCAATTTTTAATCAAATGTCTGTTGGGAATAAAAAGAATACATAATAGAATTGTAGAAGATGAGATTTTAATATTCTAACTGTAAATAAAATACCACCTTACGATTGTGTTAAACAGTTTCTTAAAATCAGCAAGAAAAAATATGAAATGATTGATGATATATTATGGATGTTGGGCTATAGTCAAGAGAAAGGGGAAGATGTTAAAGAAAATATCAAATTATTTATTGAAAGTAAAAAGTTTAATGTTCAGAATACAGTGAGAGATGTTAATATTATTTTTAAAATGATGTATGAAAGAAGTAAGACAAATCAATTAAATTTTTATCCTGAACTGAAATTATAATCATAATATAATAATAACATGTAAAATCTTATATGGTATAATTATACTGAACTTTTAACCTATAAAACCCCTTAAACTTATCTAAATAAATAACCCCTTAAACATATAGAGACCAATGACAGACAAAAAGCAATGCTCCAAATGTAAAGTCTTTCAATTGTTAGAAAAGTTCAACGAAGGAAGAAAACAATGTAATGTATGCTTGGAGAGCAAACGACGGTATAGAGAAGCACACAAAGAACAAATACGGCACAAGTCAAAGGAGTATTACGAAAACAACAAAGAGCAGATTGTAGAGAAGAAAAAGACATATAGAGAGAATAACAAAGACACTATACTGGAAAAGAACAAGATTTATCGTGAAAAGCATAAAGACGACATAAAGCAACAATCAAAAGAATATAGAGAAAAGAACAAAGAAGACATAAATGAAAAACAGAAAGACTATAACCAATTGAAAGTAGAATGTCCTTTATGTAAATGTATGGTAGGAAAATACAAAATGAAAAAACACCAACAAACAAGTAAGCACCAACTAAGAGTGAAAGGTCAAGAAAACAATAACGATACTGTGAGAGATTACATGGAAACAACAAGTGACTTTGAACAAGAATAGGAATAAACAAATGAACCACCAACACCCCAGAACATAATAACTACTAAAAGGGCTAACTCTTTCAAATGAAAAAAATGTCACTCCCCAGAAAATCCACCCCTAACACCCTACAACAAAATATAGGATGAAGTCAAACAAGGGTGTTAAAACGTTGGATAACAACATTTGACCCAATAACCCCAACACTCCTTCCCTCTTCTCCCCAGGCCCCCCCTTTTCTCCATTTTTTTCCCCCCCTTCCCTGTTGAAAGGCCAGGAGCAAAACATGTTGGAAACGAACACCTTGACATAGAAATTAACTGGCGGTGCCTGCACTTAACAAAACCTGGCACAGGTGCAAGATCAACCTCGATAGTAGAGGGAGAATGTTGCGCAGCGCTTCAGCCATCTATGCAGTATGAACGACCTCCAAGCGCGTTTTGAACCTGATCGAGCGGCCTTTTCATCAATCTGGCTTGTTCTCGTGTAGCCAAGCATGTGGCTGTCCTGTTTGTGGAGCTCAATCGGAACACCGCCCGCCCCCGGGCCGCCGGCCGAGGTTTTTTTTCCCCAAGTCCAACTCCAACTTGCCCAGGTAGCATGCCTGAGGCAAGCATGCTGCTCTGTGGCTCCCTGGGCAGCTCGCCCAGCCTGGGTGATTGCTCTTGTCGCTCTTGGCCCGATCTTTTTCTGGAGCTCTGCGTCCAGCCAAAGCGATGCATCAAAAGCCTGGCAGCAAGTCTGACGGAAGAACAAATATAAGCAGTGGGTTCCTTGTTCTGGATGACCCTGGGCTTTCAACCGACTTGCTCTTTCTTGTCAACACTTCTGCGACGTCCAATCGATGGTGTCCCAGGCGCCCGCCCGCCCCTACAAACGCCCTGTTCTTGCACAGCCTGGATCAGCAGAGCTTCGCTCTCAGGATCTAGTTCGGTTGCGTCAATGGGGTTGCCCACTGCGCGGCAGTTCACATCTTTCACGGAGCATATTGCCTGCAGAGTGCAGTCCATGGAACCAAGCAAAGCACTTGCTCTTGCAATGTAAACAGCATGACTTCAAAAAACAGAACATCTGTTGCCATGACTCAGTCCTTGATTTGTGGATTTGTGTTTGCGCAAACTGGGGGGAGGGGGGGTGTACGCGCAATGCTCGTAATGATCCTGCACATGCAGCAAACATCAATCCCAGGACGCCGCAATGACATGTTGCAGCGGTGACACACGCACGTAGCAGGAAAAGGAAGCAACCAAGAAAGCGAATAAGCTCGTGTCGATTCGCTTGAAAAGAAGCCACTGGCATTGACACAAATCCAGATGAACACACACACACATAAGCGAGGAAGTGGCCTCTGCAAGGTCGAGCAGTCCCTTCTTGCCAAGGCTGTTGTTGTTGAGGTGCAGTTCCAGCTTTCCACGCATCCATCTCTTCAACTCCTGCCGCTTCTGTGGCATCTGTTGCTCTCAGTGCATGATGTATCACACGGTGACAACAAGCACCACCAGCTATCAAAACAGGGCTGCGCTTCAGGTCCTCGGCAAGGATTGCAGCTTCAGCATCCGCCAGGCCGCACGCGTTCGCAGCGATAACGCGCAGCTTCTCCAAGTGCATCAAGCCCTGCACTTCCCCAAGGCGCACGCAACCCTCGACTCACGCAAATTGCTGTTCCTTGCTGAGAAGTACGTGGGGAGCATGATGGCCTTTAACGGACAACACGGCAACGGGTGAGCCTCAGTGTTTGACCAAGTGCTTGCTGCTCAAATCTAGGTTTGTCTGACTGCGACTAATGTTGCACCAGCCAACTAAACAGGTTGCACAAGGTGGCCTTTCTCTTAAATTTAAATTTCGTGGTGCCGACACCCACGAACTTCCTCCGAGCATGACGTGGTTCGGGTCCTTCTTGAAAAAGCAGCAAACAAGAACATGGTAGATTTTTAGAGGGTTGAAAGCATCGCAGCGCTTGGCCAGCCTTCACCGCTTCCACAGCTTTAGAGGCGCCGATGCCCTCGAGCTGAACTGCAGTGATTGGCGAAGTTTCGATGGCCTGTGAGGAGCGAAGCTTTGATGGTGCTTCCTTCTCCACTCGAAGCGACAACAGCAGCCAAGTGAGATTTGTGCTGAGCGCGGACGGAGTTGGGTGTCCCAGGCCCATTGCAACTCAGCCACGCGAAACCACTCCACGCCGCTACAGCGCTACTTTCTTGCTGATCACTTTACAGGTTGTTGCGTGATGTTCGCCAGTCCCAGTTTCACGATGAAGGGGCATGCCAACTTAAGAAGAAGGCTTGGTTTCTTTCGCGCAGGTTCGTCAAAGGAGCGGCGCGAAGCAACTTGACATTCGAAGTGAACCCCTGAGCCACCCCCACACACACACACACACACACACACACACACACACACACACACTTATCTCGAGAGGCTTCAATAGCCGAGATGAAAAACGCAGTCAGTAAAAATGCTTGAATGCAAATGTAAATCAACAGGTCACAACATCGACACCGAACAGGAAGCAACAGCGACAAACAGGAACCGCAAAAGAAGAGGGTCAAGAAGACTTTCAGAGTCACTCAAATGATGCAGGTACGCGGAGTTGATCAGACTCCGTATCAGCCGTGGCATAGCCCTCCTCGTTGGGCAACCAGCTATGCTCACGGGATTGCCCCCCTGCTGCTTAAAGTTTTGCGTCCGTGCTCCAGGACGGTTCACACACACAAGGCCCCGAGTGGGGCGAGCTCACTTATGCAAGGCCCATTGAGTCTTGCAATCTTCGACTGTGCGGGAAAGTCTCGTGGCGATGACAGACCATGCATGCTTGGCCTTGGTATTGATCTTAAGCGAACGGAGGAGATCAATCTCCCCCTCAGTCCAAGGTTGCGAGGCTGGGATCAGCCTCAGTAGCGGAATCAGTCCTGGTCGATGGGGTAGCTTCGCGTTGTCCACGGGTAGGCTTAGATGCCATAGAGCGTGAGGAGGTCTTGTCATGTTTGCGACGAGCTCTTTTTTTGTCGGGAGGAGACGGTGGAGTGGGTGGAGCCCAATGATCAGGAAATTGTTCATCATGATCTGCGAGATGTTGTTCGCCAGGATCTTCAGGAAGTTGTTCATTAAGATCATCGGGGGGGGCCAGGAGAGGTGTTGGTGGTGAATTGGTCAGGTCCTCTACGGTGAGATTGAGTGGAGCTTCCGGTGCGAAATCCGGACCCTCAGTGAACTCGCGAATGGTGGCGATGCCTTGCTGGGCAATGCCGAGGATGAGTTCAAAGTCTTGAAGCAGCTGGCGCGCTGTGTCAAGATCCATGATCGCAAAAGGTTTATGTCAAACAGCTGCGGTGTGAAAACAGGTCATGTGGGAATCTTCCGGTGGACTAAGGGGGAAAAAGTGGGTGCAATCTCAAATGGTGGCAAAGGAAGGCCGGTGCGTTTTTTCTTCTGTAAGGTGAAACCGTGTTGGTGGTACAACTTCTTCAACACTGTGAGATCGTGATCTCGCTGAAACTCAGGAAAGGAAACCCGGCTGATCAGCGTACGTCTGGAGTAATATCCAGGTGCATCATTGGTGTGGCCGACTTGATGGAGAGCATGTTGTGCTTCTCATACGAGGGGATGAAGGAGATGGTGCCGCACTCAAGGTCAAGTCGAAAACGCAAGAAATCCAGGGCGGCTTCTGTCTCCAAAACGATGTCTCCTCCGTAGAAGTGTTCGTCACACACAATGTGGGCTGCCGGAGTCGAAAACCATCTAGGGGTTGCGACCACGAGCCTGTTGTCCACATAGCGGAGCAGGAGGGTGTCCTCAAAGGAGAGAGGTCCCGAAGTAGGATGGGTGTTGGCCCAAATTTGCTCGGCGACCGCAATTACCATCAGGCATAAAGCACGAGATGCGGGGGATCCCATCGGGGCCCCGCGTGTTTGCCTGAAGGAACGGAAGCCGACAGAAAAGATCTGCATGTCAAGGGTAGCTTGAATGATTTCGGGGATGTCGTCAAGCCACAGAGTGCGTTGCGCTGGCTTGTGTCGGCGACGGCGTCCGTTGTAGACGCGGGTGGTGGAAGAGGTGTCAAGTGTGTCCACTGTGAGGTGTGTGGTGGTGGAATGTGGTTGCCGCTGTCGGTACCAAGTCAAAAGTAGACGCCAGGCTGCTAAGAAGCGGTCTTTGTCAATGGAAGTGAAGAAACCAGAAAGGTCCTGGTTTCGACAGTCCAGAGGAGTGTGGCCGAGGCGGAGAAACTCATGCAAAGACCGCATGAGATCGAAGAGGTCGCCACCCGAAAATGCGTCTGGGCACGCCGTGGCAACCATGCTGTGGAGCAGTTTGGCGAGAGCGTCAAGCATGGGTCGGAAGAAGGCGCCAACGAAGCTGATGATGGGTCGAGCAGTGGTCCAGTTCTTCTTCCTCTTGGGGAGGATGTACGCAGTCGCTGGCCGTCCAAAACCGGTCACGGCCCATGGATAGCGACCGCGGAATCTGCTGACGATGCTTTCCCGTTGCCGTTGATGGATCTCAATGGAGGGGACTCGCAAGGGAGCAAAGATGGCAGGATCCGTGAATGTGGCGTCCAGCATCTTGCCGTACACAGCGGGGCAATAGAGCATGAGTCGGGAGTCCGCATGATCTTCGCAATGGCGGACAAGGGGCTCCAGGGTTGTTAGAGCCTGTTGAACATGAGCATGTAGAAAGTACTGTTGTGCGTGAGGAAGGTGGAGGTCGAAATGGAAATCGACAATAGTGGAAAGGGTTGATGGATCAAGCGAGGGCAGGTTGTTGGTCCTGGCCCAGTGGTGAAACGCCTGAGTCAGACGATTCATCAAGACCCCGCGTGGAGGAAAGAAGGAGTTGCGCAAAAGAAGGTGTCCCTCATGCTTCGGGAGGGATGGGTGTCGCTTGGCAAGGTCGGTACATGTGCAGGACAGCTCGCCGAGACTCCAGGTTTGAGCTGCCTGGAGGTGTGAGAACAAGGCACTGGATAGTTTCCGGTGTGCCTTGAAAACGATGCGTGGTTGTGCCACATGAAACGGTAGAGCACTGCGGGTGGCGGATCTGACAAACCCGCGGAGCTGGGTCAAAAGCAAAGTCCGAAAGGAGGAATGTGCGAAGAAGGGCGCGAGCATCGGTCTGGAGGGGCCGGGTGGAATTAGGCCCCGGAAGCGCAGGCTAGATCGAATGGCAGAGATGCATGCCTGGTGGTGTGGTTCAGGTCAGTGGGTAGCGATGCGATGAAGGATGTATAGGGCAGCGTGTGGGAAGTCTCTGCTCCGTATGTAACGGATGGCATCAAATCGTTGTAGGGTGTTGCTGCCTAAAACGCCCAAAAGGCGCCACAAGTCCAGGCGGTTGCTCATGCGCTTGGCCAGGAAAGCTTGTTGCAGAGCGATTGGTAGTCGTAGTCTGCGACGCTTTCGCCAAATGGTGGCAAAGCCCATGTGCCGGGATTGAGAAAAGTCCAATTGTCGTACGAAGCCCGTGCGTGGCCGAAAATGTCTCTCGATGAAGCCAAAAATGAGAGACGGCTGCAGTTCCTGAATGTAGAACTGCTCAGTGGCGAAGAGGTCTGTTGCTGGGACGGCAATGTGGATGGGCACTGAAGTGTAAAAGTGGAAAACGTCGAAATGCGCCCACCATCGAACGGCCAGCTCGGCGTTGACCAAATGGTGTCGTTGAACCTGGAGTAGTTTGCGGAATCGGCTGTGATCTCGAGCCATGAGAGAGGTGCGATTTGCACCGACATAGAAAAAGGTTTGCCATTTGGGATGGCTGGTGAATCTCAGATAAACCGCTGAAGGGACAAGCTGAGATGAGAAATCAGAAGCGGGGGAATCCAGGCCGAGTCGGGCAAGCAGGGCTTTCAGTCGGCCAGAGCCACACGAGAGATGGCAAACGTCAAGTAGCTGAAGCTGTGCGAGTAGCCAGGAACAAAAATGACGTGCGGTGTCGTCGGTTGGGAAGAGCCGGAGAGTGAAACGGAGGACAGCGAGAAATTGGCGGCAGTGGTGTTGCCAAAAATTGTGTTGCACGGCTGTGCGTCGTTGTCGGTGTGCTGTTGAGAGTCACTGGTAGAAGTGGCTTGCAGCGGCCAGGATGCGGCCCAGGGCCGATGACCCTAGTTTGGATAGGGTTCGCACTGGTACGCCCCAGAGCACGGCGGCTCGTTCCAGTTGGGCTCTGGTGTCGGAGTCCAGTGCGGTCGCCCATTTGGCGCAGCCGTTGGACCAGCATTTAAGGGTGTGCTTGCTTTCTTTGCTGGTCTTCTGGGAAGTGATCCATCGCTGGACTTTGGTGTCGGATATGTCGGGTGGGAAGTTGCTGGTGAGCTATTGGCAAACGTGGGGAGGGGGTTGGAGCAGGTCGCAAGGCTCCTTCCAGGTGGGCGGAGAGGGGAGGGGAGAAGCGGCCGGGTGCCGCCGTGGGTGGGGGGGGTCGGGGGGGTGCCGCCGTGGGAGGCGGGGGAGAAGGGGAGTCGTCAGCGGTGCGAGCAGGGAGGGGGAGGGCGGGGGAAACGTCAGGTAGTGGGGTGTCAGACGTGGTCAACCGTGGCCGCTTCATGCCGGTCCAGAAGGGAGGAGTGGCGCTTGCCGGATGATGTGGGTGTAGGGGGAGGTGAAGGGGATGGGGCTTGCTGTGCGAGTTGGCTGTGTGCGACGGCAAGCTGTTGCTGGAGCTGGAAGATGGTGGCAGCTGAAGCTGGGTCAGTCGTAGTGGTGGGTTGTAGGGAGATGAGGAAGTCGAAGATCTTGCTGGTTAGTAGCTTCATGGCTGCTGGTTTGGTGGTCGAGGTGCCCTCCTGTGTAGCGACGTGAAGAGCGAGGGCATCTAAGTCAAGATGTCGTTGTCGGATTTGGCTGAGTAGCCCAGCGGCGAAGACTGACTCCGGCATCGACTTTGCGACAACGATGCGTACCTCACCTCCATGGGCGAGGTGGCGCAACCACCAGCTGTTCCACTGTTCGTGCAGGAAGTTGAGGAGGGAAACGCGAGCGATGTCTTGTCCCTCAATGCCCAATTGCCGGGTGAACGCGGTATGCGTTATGACCTTGGGCAGGTCGTACCCTGCAATGCGGGTGGTGTCGTAGTGATCGTCGTCGGGGTTGAACTCTGCTGGTGTTGGGACTGAGTGGAGGGGGCGAAGAGCAGGAGGGGGTGTGGCCTTCGAGGCGGTGGAGGGAGGGGAGAAAAGGGGGCCGCGGGTGAAGGCCGGGGGGAGGAGGGGGAAAATGGGCGCCGCCGGGAGGAGGGGGGAGAAAGCCGGTGAAAGGGGGACGGGGGCCGAGGGGTGGTGGAGTGGATGGCTGGAAGTGGGAAGTGGGGTGGCCGTGGGGTTGGCAGGGAGTTGGAGGTGTAGTCGGTGGTGTCCAGGTCGTAGAGGAGCATCCATAGCAAGGCCCCAATAGGGCCCACGGGGTTCCGGCCGTGTTGTTGCCGTACGTGTTGCCATGGTGGTTGGGTGCAGCGGGTGAAGGTTGCTGTGGATAGTTTTGCCTTTGGAGCATCGGTAACAAGCCTCGAGCGGGTTGGAAAGCCATGAGAAAACACAAGGGAAAGGGGCCAAGTTCGAAGCAAAGGCTGGCAAACGGCAACCAAAAGGAAGGGTCATATGGCGAACGACCGGTCACTGAAAAGGCAACAAAGCGAACAAACCGGGCATCAGTTCTTTTCCTGGTCACATGGAATATGGTACGGTTCGCGCCCCGCTACGCCGGGCGCTGCAGCGCGACACCTCTCAGCATGGCATACTTGGAGTGAAGGCACCACTTCTTGCCTCTGCGGCATGCAAAGTGGCGCCGCACGTTGCGCTGGTCCTCGTGGCTTCCCCCTGACTCCAAGATCTTGCGCTGATTGACAGAGCGCAGTTCCCCAAAAGCGATGGCCCCAAGCTGAGACTTTCCGATGGTGAAGTTCTGCAAAGCTGGCCTAACGTGTCGGGATTGCAGGCTGTGGGAGTGGCCTGAGCGTAGCATCCAAAGCTCGGGTAGTCATGGTTCTCAGGCCTCCATGCAGCAGGCCGGATCATGTTCTCATAGGACATGCGGCGCATTCGATCCGGGGTGGTGCCGTGTACATACATGACAGCGTGATGGGAAGCTGTGCCGGATCCAGCTTCCGGGTGCCCGCCAGCGACCGGCCAGGGGTGTGGTCGGGGAAACCAAGTGGTTGCGAACACCATGCCATGTGATTCCCGTCCCAGGAGATGGTAGAAGCTGGGCTCGAACGCTATGGGTTCATCCATGTCCATGTTTCGCAGTTCCCAGCATTCTGCAAGGAGGTCGGCATGTGAAGGTGGCAAGGCAAAGTCCAGGCTCATCAAAATGCTTGGTCTGTTCCATTCTGGAGATGTCCAAGGCCGGAAGCGGGTCCAGCTCCCCCAACTCCCTGGGCGTGGGAACTCGCATTGGGTCAGTCTTGGCCGTGTCCATGACGCTTCGCCATAGATCAAGCCACCGGTTGTCGGAGTTTATGTTGGGCTCTGCCTCCGACGGAGGGGGATCCAGGTCTTCAATGTCATCCACGGGGTGTCGGGGGGAGGGTTGGGGAGGTGCAGGTCGGGGAGGGGGGGTTGGGAAAGCCGCCGCGGGTGCAGGGGTAGGGGGCATGCTGGCGTTGTTGCGGCTAGCACGGGATGGGGGGTGCGGTTGTTGCCCAGGTTGCTGCTGTGGCCAGGACTGTCGCTTGTCCTGACTGCTCCAGTTGCCTGTGTTGCTGGAGCTGTGGCGGTGCTTGCCCCAGCGGCTTGTACTGTGGCTCTGCGGTGGGTGTCCCCACGATTGGTTCCACCAGCGTGGAGAGGACCATTGAGACTTGTCGGTGTCCCATCCAGAAGTGTGCCAGGAAGGAGGTGTGGGTTTGCGGGGCCCGATGTGGGGCGGTGGTCCTGGGTGCGGGGGAGTGTCGTTGGGAGGACCTGCGCCGGGGGGAGCGTGAGCGGAGGGAGATGGGGTTGCGGCGCGATCGCCTGGAGCGGCGGTGGGGCCGTGAGGGGGAATGTGACCGGCTGGAGCTGCGCGCTCGCCGGGTGGTGTGTCGCCGCGGCGACCTGTCGTGTCCACGGCGGTGACTGGTGTGGGAGTGTGAGTGGCGGTGTCGTCTGTGACGGGAACGGGATCTGCGGGAGTGGGACTGGGGACGAGTGTCCGTGGGATGTGGGCTGGTCGAGGCAGCGGCGGCAGGAGTCATAGCAGCTGCATCGGCTGCGCGTGCCGGCTGAGGCTCGGGCAATGAAGATGGCATGCTGCTCTGAGCCATGAAGGGCATCAGGGCGCCGGATGTCGCGTTGCCAAAGTTAGGAAGGCCACCGTAGGGCATCACGGACGTCGGGTTGCGGAGGCCACCATAGGGCATCATGGAAAACGGTGCAAAGGGCGTGGTCTGTGGGTTGGGTGAAGGTACGAGGCTCACGGGCTGCATCATCTGGGGTGACAACTGCAGGTTCGGTCCACCGCTGCCTGGTGAGCCGGACACGGTGCCGGCCGCAATGCTTTGCAGGAGCGAGTGCATCATGTCATAGAGCTGGTGTCCAGCCATCTCAAAAGGGAGAGAGAGAGGGTTGGAAAGGGGTGGAAACAATAAAAGACAACTGCGGCATGGGCAGGCACGATGTAGCAACTGATTCACACATGACCTGTGCCTCAAAAAAGCTGCCTTGTCGGCCCAACTCATGTCAAGGCAGGTGTCTCTCGAACGTGAAAGTGAATTGAATTGATCTGAGTCAGCGCAGAGCGTGAATCAATGAACTGCAAAGTCGGTGTCTGACCGGCTTGTCACTCGCGCATGAAGCTGCCGGAGCCTGATACCTCATGAGAGCTGCCTTGTTCAAAACGCAGGCAGTGCAATGCGAATGAAGCTGCCGGAGCCTGATACCTTATGAGAGCTGCCTTGTTCAAAATGCAGGCAGTGCTATGCGAGTGTGAACTGAACTTGAACTTTTGAACGTCACACACACACACACACACACACACAACCCACAACAAGACCTGCGTGTCAAAATTGTCAAAACACTTAATTTTCAAGTGGGTGGGTTGTGGAGTGTGTGCGGGTTGTCTCTGACTCGGATGGTTCAACCACCTGTGGCGGCAATATGGGGCATGTTGCTTGGGAAGTGTTTTTTCGTCCGGCGATGACATCTTGTGCAAGTTATGTTTGGAGCGGGGGCAGGCTCGAATCCCGGTAGCAGCATTGTGGGGGATGCTGCTTGCCAGGCATTGTTTCGCTCGCACAACGTAGCACAAGGTTGGGGACTTGTGAACTGAGGCTACCCAGCAGGCTGAAAAACAGAACGTTACACAGGGTTCAGGACGCTTCTGTCGAGACTCGTTGGCTTGTTGGGGCTGTGGAATGGCAGCGCTGCATGAAGGCATGTTCAGGCAAAGTGTGACATTGCAATGTCTCAAATAAGTGCCTTGGCTGGCTGAAAGCCCAAACGTGGCATGGGGTTGGGGACACTTGCGAACTGAGGCAAAAATGTGTTAACAAGGCCCCAAACATGTGTTCCCGGCAAGCACAAAAGGAAACATACAGTAATGTAACACAGAGTTGGGGTCACTGATGATTTGAGGCTTGTTAACTGTTTTGGGTTGTCAACCTGCCGGAAACACAAACTCCTCGGTGGGCATGCGTTAGCGTTGACAATTGTCGAACTTGTGAAGGGGGTTTCGGACATGGGTTTGGGACCTCGCCACGCTTCTGTCCCTGCTTGCCTGAACTGCACGAAGGGTTATATATCATTCAGTCCCACTGGAGAATGATCAAGCCAATGACCTATGGCAACTGCAACAGGCACAGGGCAGGCCGTCCAAAGCCAAACTCGGAAAGGGTACGAATAGTTCTATACCACAGAAAGCGAGCATGGGCACAGAGCGCATTGACAATGCCGCTACGAACAGAGTTGCGCAGCCAAATGCCAAGTGGCCTATACCAACAAGGTTGCGAACAAAGAAATTGAGCAGAACGAACAACGACTCCCAGTGATTTCATGCCGCATAATCATCGCGGAAGCGTTTCAGGCAACGTCATCAGGCCTCACAGAGCGCCGCAACTTCGATATCGCAATTCTTAAGCTCCAGGCGCTCCAGCTGCGGGTAGTTCTTGAGTGCCACCAATAGGGTCAGGAATTGCTCCCGGTTCAGCTGGCCCATGGTGAGTGTCTTGTGGCTCTTTGCCTTGTCATGATAAACTTTTTCTTGCAATGCAAGAACAGGCGCCACATCACCACGGTGTGTGAATTTGAGTTCATTCTCACCGGTTTTGGTGATGCGATCCCGGAACATGTCTGGGGGAGTCGGGGCTTGGTTGCCCTCCTCTTGGGCCCAGCCTGCCTCGGTAAGGTGGCCTGAAGCGTTGGAAGTGCTTCGGGTCGCGGACCACTCACGCTCCGCCACGCACCACCCCCTGCATTGATACGGTGTGGCGTTATGCGTGAGCTCTCCGACGGGTACTGGCACAACCCTTGCCAGTTTGGCGCTGAACACTGACACCGTGTCCGTGTCACTCTTCCGGCTCTTGTCGGGCGTAAGCTCTTCAAGGCGTGCGGTTGTTGTGCCCTCGTGCGAGTATAGCAGATGCATGTTGTCCATCCCAAGCCGAAAGCTCCTCTCCTGATCTACGTCATTCCGGAAGTATTGAAACAGGGACATATAGTCGTAGAACACCCAGTCAGTATCCTGCAAGTGGCAGGCCAGGAGCCCCAGCTGGTAGCAGTGTGGATCCGGATGTTCTCTGGTTTCCCACACGTGGGAGACCGACACGATCCTTCCAGCCTCCTGCAGCCCCTGCCCCACCGCCTTCTCAGCCCACTCAGTGACTTCCTCAGGGGTCACCAGGGCTGTGGCGCTACCTGCATAGGCCTCAGCTCACAGTTGCACAGCTTGCATCTTCTGGCAGTTGACTGAGGCAGCTGCTTGTTGCGCCTCTTGGCGCCGAGGCATGGCTTGCCCCAGCTTGTGCAGCTTCTTCAAGAAGGCACCCCGAACCAGCCGAATATCTGCAGCATTCAGGAAGTTGGCCATGTCCACTGGGTTCTCATAGCCGTACTCTGCCTGCTCAAATGGGAACTGACTCGATGCAGCTTTCGCACAAGGCAACAACTCCAGATCCAGCAGGGCAGGCTGCCTCGCACATATCCCGGCCTTCTCAATGCTTACTTGACCTTGAGTTCCGAGATGTTCCGAGGTCGAGTGATCAAGAGTCCAACATCGGTCCAGTCATGCTGCAAAAGGACATTCAGCTTGCGTCTCAAGAGCTAAGGCCGCAGCTCGGAGACACGAAGCGTTGGGCTAACACGTTCGCCACCTGGCCATTGCGATTCCGCTCCAAACTTGCCCTTCATATGGACTACACAGACACCCTGGCCTGGTAGACGCTGGGGCTCGGTTCTCCGGGACACAGCAGGTGCCCAACGTGGCCCAGTAGCCTCTGCCGCCGCAGGCTTGCTTTCGCCTCCGCTACTGTGGCCATTGACGAGCAGAATGCAAACGCGCTGCCGCCCAGCAAGGAGGTGCAACGCTGCCTGCACCTAAATTGCCCAAACAGAAAGCTCGCTGGGGTGGACGATCACATTTAGAGTTTGCAAAGGTGGTGTGAGCGGGCATGTTGCAGGGACCCCTTGCTGAAAATTCTGGGTGAGCCCGTCGGCTCTGCGACACTGTGCTGCCTGAAGCGGATCGTCTGCGGCAGCCTGCCATAGGCAGCTGTCGTGCACTCAAGTAAGGGCGTCTCTGGCCCCCAGCCGCCATCTTACTTCCTCCTCTGGCATCCCCTGTTTGGAACTCAGAAAGGGCGTCGAAGAAAAGAAGGTCACACCAGCGTAGCCAAACGGTTGCGATGCTTTGGACATGTCTTCTTGGCTTGAACACCGTCCTCCTAATTCCTCCTGTCAAGGATGTCTGAACAGGCTGGGACCAACCATGGTGTGCGTGCATCAAGCCAAACACTGCTTGCTGGAGGAGAGTGGATTCATGCAGAAAGAGCCAGGTAAGCAACAGAAAGAGTCACAGTCCATGCTGCTCTGGGAAATGGTCTACTATTCCAGAAGACGAACAATGAATCTCTAACACTCCTCCTGCAGGTCGTGCCTCCGGTGGGGACAAAAGGTCGAGAAAGTCCTCAAAGCCTTGGCCACAGCTCAGCTAAATTGCAACCGTCTTGTCCTCGTGCAGGAATTCAAATGGGTGTCTTGTTACCACAATGCGTCGTTCCATCCAAGAGACATAAATGAAGAAATGCTGTGCAAACGGTCAGCAAAGCGTTTTGCCTGGGTGTCATGTCCAACGCTTCCCCACGCAGCAAGCCTGAGAGCTTTTCACAGACCTTACCTGCATCAACAGAGTCGACGAGACTCCACCCGCAAGCCAATCTAACACAGCTAGTCTGCCAAGGCGCTCATCTGCGACTTGCCAGACTCCTTCAATGCTGAGCTCATGTTTGGCTTTGCAAGGTCTTGCAGGCCGAATCCCACTGACGCGGAAACATGTGCGTGCGAACACTAGCGCGGAATTCAGGCAACCTGTAGCTATCGTTTTGGCGATCCCTGTTTACTAAAAATGTCAAGCATGCAGCAATCTGACCACTAAGCTCTTGCAGGGAAACAAGCACGTGCTAATAACAGTGTGCCAAAGCAGAACATATCAGGCAACTGACTGATTTGACATGTTCAAAGCCGGAACCCTTTCGCGAAGGCTCCAAGAAAGGTAAGCTCCGCCAGCAAGGCTAAGCTTCGTCCTTTGCTGTGGCATTTGCAAACTGAAAGAAGTGCAGGTGACCTAAACGAAAGTTCTTTAACATCGAGCATCTCGAGTAAGGCTTTCACATTCCAAAGCTAACAGGGGAGGAGGACAACACATACCTGGGGCATGGAACTGCATCAGTCAAACATGCCCTTGTCTGGTCCAAAGGGGCACAATCAAAGGGGAAGAGGGAAACAGGGATGGCCGAGTGGGAAGGCTTTCACCTCAAATCTCACCAAATTATGGCAGAACCAGATTCATACGGTGACCAAATGATAGCGGATTCGTCCATTCCGATTGCAACGGGATCACATGCGCACACACATACACACGGAGGCGCTTTGCACGTGTCTGGTCCGGGACATTGCTGCCCGTTCCAACGCGAATATTGGATCGGATTGCTCTGCTCTTGCTGGCATCATTTGGGACCGCCAAGCGACATATCAAGAAGGCTCGCGTGTCAGAAAGATCACGTAGCTTGCCTTCTGAGACGGGCGACCTTGTGCTTGTTCGAGCACGTGTTGCCCCACCCCGCCCCAAGGCGTCTCGACACTTCTCCTCAAGGGCGCTAGCTGCAGGATGTGCACTCCTTGCATCCGGGTTCTCCGTCTTCAGGGCCTCCTGAAGCAAGAGACAGGTCCCATAGAAAAACGCCGGATCGCCGAGCTCAATAGAATTTGCTAAGGGGAGGGGTCGGTGCTATGGACAAAGGGCCTTGCCAAAAATCGATCCTCGGCGTCCACACGCATGTGGATTCGTCGCTTTCTGCCAGTTGTAGCCCTCAGGTTCCGCGCCTCCAGCTTTGCCTTTTCCGCATCTTTGTCCGCCGGAAGCCTGGATCCAACTCATCTTGCAGCAACCAGGGAAACAGCCATTTAGCTGCCCATGAGTAATATTTGTGTGTGTGGCTGGTTTGCAGGGCTGAAACAAGACTCCGCAGTCCAAATCGATTTGCCTGAGCTGGTCTTCCTTCAGCTGCTGCAAGTCCCTCAAAACCAGGCGGTGAGCAAGCTCCGCCTCTTGGCCTCACGCGTGAGGGTTCTCGAACTAGGAATCGGTCCCCCAAAATGGCACAGCCAAAATATCCCAAAGGAAGGACCCCATCTTGCACCAACCCCGGGCCAATAAAGAGTTTCTCTTTCCGGACAGCGAGCCACGACTAGGTGAAGTATCCGACGATTCCTCTGAGGTTATTGTTTGTTTTGCCTGGCTTAAAAGGGAGTGCGAAAGGGAAGCACCCGTGTTCCGCCGGTTTAGAGAGAATCCGATACGCTACCATGTGCAAATCAACCCCTGGCGGTTGGTGTTTTCGTGGCTCGTGTCCCGAACCCATCGACCGAAACTCAAATTGAGCGTCAGCGTTTCCAAGGGACTCCCAAAATTGGTTTCATTTGAGATTCCCCTCAGCCACACAAATACGGGGCCCGCCACTTTGGGAAACACGAGTTTATGCTCTCAGGGTGGGCCCTTGGCACAATCTGCTTTTTTCCAGAGCTTGGCAGTCGGCGAAGTTGTGTTTCCTGCTCTTTCTCTTGAGCAAGTCGCTCCTTGTCGGCACCTCAGGAGCCCACGACCCGCACAGTCCCGAAAACATGTGTGGCAAAGGGAATCCAGCTGCGCCTGCAGAGCAAAAGAGAGAACACTCCGACTGTGCTTGGCGAATAGGGCAGCAAAACACCACACCATGTCTCATGCAAATATACCACTCTTGGACAACCATGAGAACATACACACATCTTGCTTCTGTCAGGCCAACGGGCAGAAAACGAGAGTCTGTGGGTCCCACGGACTTGCTCCAGTTCCTGCTCCACCTGACTGGCCATCTGCTCACTGACACCAAGATTCCCTAAGACTCTGGCCAAAATCCGGCGTGTCGGATACATACTAGAGATAGAGGATAACCCCCCCCCCCGCCCGACGTCAAATACGTAGAGGGGGGGGGGTGAGGCCCACTGCCGGGGTGCCTATCCCAGACGGGAACTGGTGCCCTGTGGTGGTAGAGGTCGTTGATTTGGTCCCTGGATCTATTCCGGAGAGAGTCCAATATGCCAGCATGGATGGTCCCTGGTGGCTTGTGTTGACTGTGAATCCTGCAAGCCTTTTTATCAATGTACCATGAGTCGAATGACTGTACAAATGACTTGAAGGGCCTTGAGCCATCATGTCAGCGGAGTGTGTGAATAGGTCAATGTGCAACAAAAAGCAACACAAAACAGACACAAATTTCTTTTGACCTTTCACACCGAGGTGTATGATTGGCTTCTTGGCCTTACGTGCCGTAGCCATGCTTGAAAGTGCCGTAGCCACGTATTGTTACAATGATTCATCCAATGTTGGCGCGGATGATTTGTCATGTGAGCAAAATGGAAAACAGTCTGTGCTGATTCTGTGAGATACCTAGATGTGCACAACGCTATGTACATGCGGGACGGATGTGAAACTATTGATCTCTCACTGAATAGTCTTGTTGGCGGTGAGGATCAATCTGGTTGAAGTTCGTAGCGCCGATCGTGGGAGTCTTCTCAGTCGGTCGAATAAGTGCCAAAGGTGGCTGCTTCGTCAGGTGATCAGCGGTACCACCGACGGCTGCTGTCGGATTGACTGCCATAGTCTCCATAATCATTCCAGGTCGAGTCGCCATAGTCTTTCCATTGCTTTGGATTGCCCCAGTACTGCCCGTTGTACTCTTTGTCCTCTTGCTGAGTCCAGGATTGCTTCTTCTTGAGGTGCTCCTTGGATCTCTCAAAGTTGCGTTGCCTCGCGGCAGATCTGCTGTGGATGTAGACCATCAGCGGACTGTGCGAGTCGGAATCTTGTGAGCCATTCATGAACATATCTTTGTTCACGTGCTTGAAGCGTTCCGCGGATGAGACCTGATAGTCGAAAATGGCAGACGTCGGATCGTTCCGCATGGCTTCCAGTTGTTCATCCTTCATGGCGTTCATCTCTTCTTTCCGGAAAACCTGCTGGCTATTTGTTTTGCCCCATCCAAACACGAATGTCATCATCACATCTGGGAATGTTCGATCATACCCTGATCCAGCCTTCACGTATAGGTGATGACGGACGATGGACTTTAGGGTGCATGAAGTCTCCATTGCATACTCCATTCTGTCCACGAGCGGCAGATTCTCCGTTTCATTCCACAATCTCTGATATGCCTTCATGAGGATATTCATGAGACCGTTGGCCGGATTGAAGACGTGCTGGAGTCTGCTGTAGGTCTTCGCGGATTTGTTGGCGTCTCCGGTGATCGCATCGCATTGGTACAATGTCACGAGTGGCATGATTTCGTTCTGAAAATCTTCCCGTGCTGCTCCATGGCTGATTGATGGATGAATGTGGAAAACTCTAACGGTAGCAAACGGGAGGTCTGCCCTCGCTACGTGGCGGCTGTCAAACTCGAGGAGTGATTTGTTGGATGATTTTGGGAGCATACCGATACTCATCACTCTGCTCGATGTGGAGAACGACAATCTCTTTGTTACGTCCGTGTCCTTGGACAGTGGTGCGTGGTGGCAATCTCGGTCCGATGTACTTCTTGGATTCAGTAAACATGGATGGCCCCGTAGTTGCCAAGCAGTCTGAGGTCGGAATATTCAGGATCAGTGCAATTTTCCTCGGTTCCGAAGAAACATCTGAACATCCCGAATGTGGTTCCCCAATTCTGACTCTTTGTGAAAATGTGTCTTGCCAATAGTTCCACTCTTGCGGAAGGTCCGCCGGGGACAAAGCATGCAATTGGTCTGGATGACCATTGCTTGATAACGATGCCCTTGTACCCGAATCGGATGAACGTCTTGATGGGTTCTCTGGATTTCTCATCTTGAGGACTGAGGAATGCGTCTGCTTCATTGAGGCATAAGATGCGTGCGCTGTTCTGCATCATCATCTTCACGATTGGTCGATCCTTCATCGCCATGTTGCACACCTCCCTGTTGTCCAGCTTTGGATTCCTCGTGAGGTTTCCATGGTTCATAGTAAGCATGTTGATCGTCAGGGATGAGATGAACTCATGCGTCTTGAGATGGTCCACAGGGGAACGGTCGGTCGGCTGCATCAGCGATCCCAGGATATCGGCAAATGCTCGAATGACTTCTGGGTTGTCATGTGACCTAAGCTTCTTCAATCCAAGTGGAAGCTTAATCGGATATCCTGATACTGGCTGTGCCTTCCGGTACTCGTCCATGGTGGGACATTCTCCTCGATGGCGGAAATAGAACTCTTCTTCTTCGAGGTTGACATCGGGATCGACGTGTGCCAATGAGGCTCTCTCGCATTCTGTCAATGTAGGATGAGCTCCCTTGGGATCCTTGTTGTGCTTCTCCATGAAGCGGATGAAGTTCCTTTTGGTCTCCACGAGCTCTTCCTCGGCGTCCTTCTTGCTCATTTTTATTTTGAGGTAGATTTCCTTGAGTTCCTGGATGAACTCGTCTAGGTTCTCAGGATTGGGATACTCCGTGGTGACCTTTGGCTTGACGGATCTTTCCCCGGAGGAGGGTTCCACGTTCTCCCCTCGGGATCAAATGCTGTAACAATGTTCCTCGCCTCGATGGTTTGCTCTGTCAATGCTGTTCGCTCTTCGGAGAGTCGGATGTCGTAGTCCTGGTCCTTGAGGAACGCCAGTTTCAGCCCGTGCTCCATGATGTTGATCAGATTCTCTCCATGTCGCATGGAACATGAACGTGATGGGCTTCTTCGCGAACGGCTTGATCTTTCTCTCTTCTTCAATGGATTGAGCCGCCGGCCTTCGCATTCTGGATTTTACCTGAGCTATGCCTTCGTCTTCATGGGGCGCGTCGGATCTTGACGGATGCGGACTTGGAGGAATGGAGTCCGTCGGAAGATCATAGTCCGGTTCTTCTTGGCGAGGCTCACTCTTCTGCTCGGAGTACAGGGGTCGTCCAAAAGATTGAAGAGCGACTTGTCGTGTATGACCGCTGTTGCATCTCACGTAGAACTCCATGTCGGGATCATTGAGGAATTCGTCCACGGATGGATACACGAACGCAATCTCGAAACGTGCCTTTCCATGGTTCGGGAACATAGCCATCAAAAGAAGTCCTGGCTTATTGCCCATGTAGTTCCTGGCATGCGTAATGCAGGTCAATGCATCGTAGAGCTCAACGGATCCATCACATGTCCACTTGTCGTGTGCATTCTCTGTGTTGGCCTTGCCTTGGATCGTGTCGAAAACATTCGGAAAACAATCTGCTCATTCTCTCGATTCGCCAGAGGATGAGGTCGGTGATCTGTTTTGCCGTGGATGGATCCATGTTGAAGTATTTGCAAACCTGTTTAAGATTCTGGACAGTCTTCTCGAGATCAATATGGCGGTTGTGACATACCATCGGAACGATGTCTGTTCCGAAAACTTCTGGCTGAGCATTGGTGTAGCAGCAAATGCTGTAGACCTTCTTGATGAAGTCCATGTATTGTTTCTCTGTACGTTGGCCTTCACCTTGAAGCGTTGGCTTCCAGTAATGATTGAATCTGGCTTTCAACCAGAATACCTTGGCTCCATGTTGTCGTTCATGCTCAGGGATGAAGTGGAAGTCAGGATTCATCTCAAGGATGGTTGAGCACTCCTTGTAGTATTCGTACACGAAATTGAGGAATTTAGAATTCCCGAAAGGTCCTGGATGTACGGATTCACTCTGGAGGCTGATGTCCGTATCTGATCCATCTGGTACATACCACCGATCGTTGGATGTGCGAGTTGGCCGCATCGCTGGTCGCCTTGGAAGTTCAGGTCGGTCGCCAGGATGATTGTCGGATTCTGTCTCCTCGTCCAGGATGTTCTTTGGCGCTGGCTTAGTGTTGGTGGTGGTGACTTTGGAACCAGTTTCGGATGTTCGCCTTCGGCATTGGATTTCCTGCGAGAGGTTGCTCTTCGTCATCCAGGTCATCACCGTTGTTTGCATCTTGATCATAATCAACCTGCTCCATGTTGACATTATCAGGTTGTTGAGAGGCGGATGGATTCTCATCGACGATCTGCTCCATGGGGCAGTCGGATGTCTCATCTTCCTCATCACGAGCAGGGGATTCCTTCAACGGAGATGCCCGTCTCTTCACCAGCGGCTTCGGCGAAGGAGCCGCAGTGCTGGATTGTCCGAAGATCATGTTGAGAATCGGCATGTCTTCGAGGTGATCAAGCATACACGATTGCAAAGGTCGGAATGGTTGTAAACCGAAAGTGGCTGCGGACGCAGACACATATTTCTTGAGATTCAAGATGGGTCAAGTGTAAAAACACGCATCACGGACTTGAGGAATTGAAAATGTGCAAAATGAAAACTCATGCATCAGAATTCGTGGACATGCGGATCATGCCCAGGTTCCCCAATAAGCAAACATGGATTCTGCTGTACCGGCAATCATGTCGGGTCCGTGCTTCGTATTGTACGCTAGCCACTCAACCAAAAATGCCTTGTTCTGCAACATAGTACGGAAGGGTGGATGTGCATCAGCATTCAGGACATTGCCGGCGAGGACGGCCTTGACGAGCTCGTCTGCCTTAGCTGAACGCTTGGTCAGCGAATCTGCCAGGCAATCTTCACTCCGTACATGTGCAAGGTCATGCGTCTGTCCACTGTTGCTTTCCTTTCTCAACATTCGGATCAAATGCATTGTTTCTTTCTGTTCCGGTTGATGTGTTGTGGATGCTGTGGTGACAAGATTATTCGCATCAGTGCGGATGTGTACATCTGCGATTTCGCCTGTTATGTCTGACCAGAGACCACGTAGAACTAATGCTGAACCGTAACAACGCATCAGTCCGTGCAATTCTGCAACAGTTGTGGACATGGTTGTGGCGGTGATCTTGTGCGTCTCACAGTCGACCAATGAGC